GTCAGAGCTCTGAGGTTGGGGTTCGGTGGTGTTGCCACCCCACAGTTGCAATGAAGGCTCAGATGTAAAACCCACCACGTGTATTGCTGCGGACAGGCCTCCGGGAAGGTGATTTGGTATACCTGTCACAAGCCTTGACAATGTGCGCATCCCGTGGCCAGCGTCTCCACATCTGGACACACATCCTGGGGGAGCACCTGAGAGGTGGCCGGAGGGGGCGGGGCCCACCCGCCTTGCAGCTGCCCTGCGGCGTTCGGCGTCCGTGCTCAGCCACTTCCTGGCTGTGTGGCTGTGGCCCTGGGCAACCTCTCCCAGCCTGACCGACTGTGGTTGGCAATGAGAGATGAACCGGGTGCACATGCTTGTGCCCGTGTGCGTGTCCTGGCTATGTTAGGCAGCAGTCCCCAACCTTCTCGGCACCAGGGACCGATGTCATGGAAGACAATTTTCCACGGACAGTGGTGTGGGGAAGGGCGCAGCGGAACTCTGCGGCCCGGTCCCTGACAGGCCTGGGATTGGCACCAGGGTTGGGGACTGCAGGTACAGGTTTTTGCAGGCTCTCCTCTTGGTGGGAGGAGCAGAATGTTTGGTAGTTCCTGGGAACACTAAAAGAGAGGGCGTTGCTGGAGGTTGGTGGCAAGGGGCAGGGTTACAGAAAGTTCCAGATTCTCCCCCAGGGGGCCCTTGTCTGATTGCTCAAGGCCAACCTGCTAGAGAGGTCGCAGCCCTGGTTGCTCTGGGGCGCTGAGAGAACAGTCTGAGCGAAGCTCCGCGGTGATGCGGCGGAGGAGCAGCACGGGCACTCACAGCTGCTTCCCCAGCGGGGGCTGCGCAGGCGCTTAGGAACCTCCCTCCGGAACGCAGGCGCCGCAGCCTCCTCTCCCACGAGCAGCCGCTCCCATTGGCCTTCCTGGGTCTTGAACTGTCCAAAGCCATCGTTAGCTTGGGGCCTGTGTGCCTGCTGTCCCCTGTGCCCAGAAGACCCTTGTCTTGTCAAGGCCAGTTCTCCCTCCTCCCTCTCAGCTCAGACACCTGCCTCCCTGCACCCCCAGTCCAGAGAAGCCACCTCTCAGCACTCTCAGGGACGTCTTGAGATCGGCTCTGTAGCATTTAGCACCGCAGGAGCTCTCGCTTGGTTTTTTCATTTTATTACCTGTCTCTTCCCCTCTCCCTGCCCCCCGACTAGACACACGACCAGGTGCTCCGTGAGGTCTTACTCCTGGCTGTACTTCTAGCTCCTTGCACAGTAGCTGACGCACAGTAGGTGCTCAGTAAGTATTTGTGGAATGAATGGGTGTTTGTAAAATCTCATAAAGGCTCTGGAAGTTACAGGCTGACTCAGAACCCTCGCCTAACTTCATGGGCAGAGACTTCCGCCGTGGGGCCGAAGACGTGAATTGCCAAGTGCAGCTGCGGGGAGGTGTGTTCTGCTTCAAGTCTGTGCACAGGTTCGTGTCTGCCCCGTGTAGTGACAGAGACTCCTCGTGATTGAAAACCCTGCTTCTCAGAGTCTGGGCACCTGCGGCAGGTCTCAGCGCCTCCTTATAAGTAGAACAAAGCAAATGGATTGGGGCGTGATCCACAGACAGATTTTTCGGCCCCCAGAGTGTTTTGAAATAAATTTAAATCAGTTGCCAGTGTTGAAAATGGGAAGATTTCATATAGTGGATTTTAGCATTCCTTAGAAAACTCTAGAAGATCTGATGATATGGGCCTGTGTTCCCTAATACAGCACCAGGCTGACTCTGAGCAGGGACAGTGTGGTTGTCCCCGCTGGGCCACTTCCTCTTGGTTCTGCAGCTGGCTGGGGCAGCTACCTGAGGTTTGTGACCCTGGAGTGTGAGAGTGACCGTCACCTGGTCCTGCCTGGGAGCCCAGAATCACCTTTCCTTCCTGGAGGAAGAGGGTGGGGTTGCCTCCCAGGCCCTGACCCCAGACGGTCACTTCACCGTGCCATCTTGGCTCCATGAGTGAGCCTGAGAGAGATGAGATCCCTGAGCCGAGGGGTCCCGGGGGGCAGGGGTGGCACAGGGCCCAGGGATACACGCCGCAGCCAGCAGTGCCCAGGACTAGCCCTCCTGCCACCCACTCTGCTTCCTCTCGCTTTGTGCCTCTCCTGAGATTTTTGTCACCTCCTTCCCCAGCCCACGGAGGAGGTACTCAGCACTCAGGCTCCTGGGAAAGTGTGACTCATGCGCTCACAGCACTTCCCGGCTGGAAGGGCACTGGGGAGCATCTGGCCAACACCCCCCACCCCCAGAGCGCCTGGGGCTGGATCAGAAATAGCCGAGATCATCCAGCTTGATCTGGAACCCCCTCCGCTGTGGCAGATGTAGCAGACGGAGGCGGCTTCTGATCGCTGGGAGGATTTCAAGATCCAGTATCTCGTTTCCTTTTCCCTGCTTGTTATTGTTTGCCAACTGCATCCCCGTGATAATGAACAAAAGGAAAGGGGAGGTCACCTCACTGCCGGCACATTTCAATATTCTTCTCCAGTCGTTTTTCATATGTGTACACAGTTGTCATCGTGGTAACGTTAAATTTCTCTCATGGCAGTGTCCCTGTGCCCAGAGCAGGACACGGCACGCGGTAGGCTTCGGTGAGCGGTGCTGACCGCGGAACGTTTTGTTTACTGCGCTGTACAGCGAACATCGTCCTGATTGCATCCTGCGCCAAGTACCGCCACAGCAAGTTGTTAAAACTTATTTGCGATTTTGCTGTATTTTGGCGTTTTTCTCCCTCTAGCTTATCAGGATTATAAATACTGTTGCAGGGAGCGTTTTTCTCCACATAACTGTTTTTGAGTGTTTTGAATTATTTTCTTAGGCTAAATCCCAGGCATTTGAATCCCTGAAACAGAGGAGAGAAAAATAAGAAATTGCTTTCAAAATGTTACTTATCCTTGTTGGTAGCAGCATTTGAGAATAGTAGTTTTACCATGACTTTGCCAGTATTTGGAGTATAATTTTTAAATTTTCGTTAGTTTAGTAGTAAAAGATGGCACCTCGTTGTTTTAATTTGCATTATATGTGTGGTTATTAGCACGGATTGAAGAATATCTAAGCCTTTAATAGTTGTTTCTCCTTTTGTGTGCCTGACCTATTTGAGTAGTTTGTGTATCTGTTAGAATACAGATTTTTTAGAGTTGTGTGAATTATAATATCATTAACTCAATTTTCCTGTCATATTTACTGCAAACATTTTCCTAGTGTGTGGTTTTCCATTTTTAATACCAGGCATGTTAGTACAGGTGTGATTCTCCGTTCTTGGAGAGTCTGAAGATATGGTCGCGGAGGGGCCTCGGACCCGCCTAGAGAGCAGGAGCTGCGGCCAGAGGACACCACCAGTCAGAGGACACCGCGGCCGCCCCTGGGTCTCCAGCTCCCTGCGCTGTCGTGGCTGTCCTCTGAGCCCGTCGGAGCCCCTGCAGCTGTCCTGGCCTAGAAAGTTCTTTTGAGCTGAGGTGTATGCGTCTCTTTTCTTCACTGAGGCCAGCTTTGTGGGGCTCCCTGGATGTGTGCCTTCACCACTCTGGTGACCTCGGCCGGCCGTTCCCTCTTCCTGACTCAGGGTATTTAAAAATAGCCCTGGCTGGCAAATTCGGAAGAATCCGCAATCGATTCGTGAACATTAAGCTCTTAAGAGGCAGTAAATGCTTTTCTGCTACTGAATTGCCCTGAGAAGGTACCTTCAGTTCAACAGTATTGACAGCCCCCTCTGGCAGGCACTGTCTGAGACATTTGCGGTCTGGCAGGGACGGGGCTGAGTTGGCGATGCGCTCTTCTCCTGAGGGGCTGACCCTCTGGAAGGCTTTTACGTCCCGGTTCGTGTCTGCCCCCTTTTGGTGAGGAAGGTCCCCAGGTGCCTCCTGCCGGAGCAGCCAGGAGACCTGGTTTAGAAGCAAAGACGCCGTGTGACCTGTGTTGCTGACCCCCCACCCTTCAAGTGTGTTCCTGATCCAGTCTGTTCATTTGTTCAGCAAACACATGGCAGACACTTGCTTAGTCAGGAGCCTGCGCTGGGGACCGGGATTGCTGCAGAAGTGGCCAAGGCGTGGTCCCCCTGGGGTGTGTGTGCATACTTCAGTGGGTAAACAGAGATACTCCTATGTTATCAGTAAAACAAGCAGAATTATAAATAAATGAGTCTAAGTAAAGTGCTGAGGGGGCCCACAGGGAATCAGTCATTAATTATGAACAGAGGTAGAGGGAAGCTTCTCAGAAGATGTGGCAGAGGCTGAGGGGTGAATAGAGTTTTGGGGGTCATGGAGGAAGAAGAAGAGGGACAAGGGAGAGGACCGCCCAGGCTGAGGAGTGAGGACGCAGAAACAGGATGGGGAATGTCATGCCCAGGGTGGCTGCAGCGCAGGGGGAGGTGCAGGCAGGCGGGGTGGGTCCCAGTGGCAAGTGTCGTGCTTAGAAGCCATGGGCAGTCTGAGAGGATGCTGCACTGGGACACAGCAAAGCTGGGACAGGTCCGGGTCTTGAGGCGAGAAGTGGGTGATGAGGAGGGAGCCCAGGAAGGGAGGTGTCTGTTGCTCAGCAGGGCGGTTCTTCCGTGGCCACCGATTCCAGCCACAGCGAGTGGGCAGGCAGATCAGCCCTGGTGATCCCCGTTCCCAGCCCTGGATGGCCTTTTAGGTCTTGGCAAGGGCCTCAGTCTGGTGGGCTGGAGTGAGGAGGAGACCAGCAGGTGCGGTGCCCTGAAGGTCCATTCGTGGGCCTCGGAGAAATCCTGATTGTTGTTGCTTATTTGTTTAACAAGTGTTTATCGAGTGCCTACCACACACCGGGTGTTTAAAAGGAAAGTGGACCATAAGGGAACGATGGCATAGAGGCATCCCAAATTCTGGAATTGCAGAGATCATTCTCTTTACAGGGAATGTGTGTCCTCATTGATTGATCCAAGCTGGGATTCTGGCGGCTGAATTTCCCACATGTGAGGAGTGGCGCTGTCATGGTGACCATGTCTGTGTCTGTTTCCATCCTAGATGCCTTAGGGCTGCGTGAGCTGCTCCGGAGGCTCATTGTTGGTGACGGCCCAGGAGCCGGTCTGCCGGGCTCCCCTCTGGCATCCTCCCACAGCCCACCCGACCATGGAGGCCCCGGAGGTCCCAGTGGGCTCGTTGATTGACTTTGGGCCTGAGCCACCTGCCTCCCCCGCCCTGGAGACACCGCCCCCCATGCTGCAGGATGGGGACGGCTCCCTGGGCGACGGCGCATCGGAGAGCGAGACCACTGAGTCGGCAGACAGCGAGAATGACATGGGCGAGTCACCCTCACACCCGTCCTGGGACCAGGACCGCCGCTCCTCCTCCAACGAGTCCTTCTCCTCTAGCCAGAGCACCGAGTCGGCCCAGGACGAGGAGACCCTGGCGCTCAGGGAGTTCATGCGCGGCTACGTGGAAAAGATCTTCTCCGGAGGGTAAGGGACCAGCGGCGGTGAGATGGCCTGGCACGGCCTCAAGGTCCCAGGGGACCCAAGTCCTGTGCTAGCTCAGCTCCGCCTCTCACTAGGGCGCCACCCAGGGCCACTGCAGTGGCTCTCGCTCTGCCCTGGGCTGTGGGGTAGAGCTGGGGAATTTTTAAAGAACACCTGAGCCTGGGCCCCACTCCAGACCAATGACATCGGTTCTCTAGGACACAGCACAATGTGAAATATGGCAAAGTCCCAAGGGCAGCCGTGCCGAGAACCACTGGGAGGGAGCTCACCAAAGTGCCCAGCTCAGGCTGGCCGGGGACCAGGTGTGGCTGCCGATGGGGCAGTCCCCTGTCCCTCCAGTCCCCTGTCCCTCACCCATGCAGTCCAGACAGCACTCGGGCACAGAGTGGGAGTGGCTTGTCGGTCTTTGCTCCACCTTTGTTTTCTTACTGAACTTTTCTCCTCTTGTGAGCACCTCCACTAGGCCCTGGGTGGAGGAGGCAGCAGGGTGAGACAGGACTGTCACTGTACTGTCTGCGGTGGCCTCTGTGGGCTGCACACACTTATTGCAAAACATGCAGAGAAAATCATTTGTAAAGCGCAGACCCTGTAATCCCCGTAAGCCCTGCTCATTTCTGATGCATGTGGTTCCAGACTTTTGACTGTGCGTTCTCAAGCCAGGCCGTGGAAGAGGCTATCCGTGGAGGTTTCTTCCCACTCACTGCTCTGATCACTCCGCTGATGCTCATCTCACCTCATCGTTGCTAACTCCAGGGGACACTTGTTTTGCTTCTGTGCCATCTGAGCGTGTCCAGGCTCGCTGCTCACCAGCGCTTCTGTCAGGGTTGGAGCTGGCTAGGAGGTCGCGATCATCTGCTGAAGTTAAACGAGGGCGATGTGAGGGGATGAGGTTTCGGGCATGCACACTCCTGCGGCACTCACAGGCAGCTGGTTCTCGGGCAGCCGCTTGCATGGGACCTTTCCTCGCACGTCCTCGTGGCCTTTCTTCCGTGGCTGTCGTGGGGAGAAAGTGAGGAACATTGACGACAGGAAGGGACAGTGCAGGGCTGTGACATAGACTGAGATGGGACTCTGTGGACTGGCCACACGCTTTCCCCCGCTGTCCAGCTGCCTGTTAATGTCTCGGCCAGAGGAGGCACACACTCCTCAGACTCGTGGGTTTTGGGTGCTGACTGCTGATCTTCCGTCGGTCACGGCAGCATGTTAAATGCCGCAGGTCTTGCTGCGCAGACTCTTGTCTGTGGGCCAGTCTCTTAGGAGCTTGTTAGAAATGCAGAGTCTTGGGCCCTGCCCGGCCCCACTGAGTCAGAATCTGCATTTTGATAAGGTCTGTAGACGATTCATACACACATTAAAGTCTGAGAAGCACTGGTGTTAAGGGAAAATTTTCCAGTTTCACTAAAGCCATATAAATTTTTGCCTGTTGACACCTGTGTGTGAAGGGTCCGTTGTTTTCTGTCGTGATTTAGGCTCCTGGTGTGGCCAGGGTTGATTTCTACCTTTTCCAGGTGTCCAGCATCAGTTTTCTATGTGCTTAGAAACGGGAGGAGCTGTATGATAATCCAAATATTTAACTATCCAGGATGCATTTAGGTTTGATTTGAGTGCATTTTGGAAGAAGTCGACCAGCACTGAAATTCGTCAGCGTTCTCTGAGCACAGCCCAGGTAGAGAAGGGGAGAAAGCCCAGGAGTTCACTGGTTTGCCAGGAAGGCCGATCCGTATCTACAGCAGCCTGTCGGCATCTGGAGTTCGGCAGCTGAGTCGGACGTGTCTCCGGGAACGTGCCAGGAGTCGCTACAAATGGCTGGCACATCCACATAGTTCAGCTGGTGTTGGTGTTTGGGATAAATGAGACTGAGATGTTTTCCACTAAACCTTAAATAAATGAAAATTGCATAAGCCAGTTGATCTGGCTTCAAAACGAAGCCTTCTGCTTCATTTTTGAGTCTTTAAATTTGGAGAGTATTGGCGCCTTACAGAGAGATCAGAAGTGGTTTGAGATCAGGTGAGCATTTCATCCACCCTGGCGGTGGTGACCCATCCCTCACGCACAGAGCAGGGGAGAGGTGAGAGGTGGGCACCTCGCTCTTCAGAAGTGCAGAGGAACCAGGGACCAGCCCCACTGACGGGCTGGAGGTGATCTCCTCCCTGGCATCAGACCTGTTGGTGTTTGTGGCTTCAGTGTACCCTGCTGAGAAAGGGCAAACTCAGGAATTCCTGAATTCAGTGGGGGTTCCAAGCCAACTTAAACATCAGAAATGAGAAGGAAGTCCAATGAGTTGGAGAGCCAAGGCCTCTTGGGATTCTCGCCGTGTTAAGGCTCCGGCCTCCCTGGGCAGGAGGCAGGGTGGCAAGAGGCAGGAACATGGGCTTTGGAAACAGGAAGTCTGCATGGAACTCTGATCTGCCGTGTCCCATTCTCCAAGCCAGGCTCCTC